CTACCAAAGATGTCAGTCCCTCTAGCAAGCTTACTGGTAATCGATAATAGGCAATCTGGGAATAAAGTTCAAGTGGTCAAATTTCCAGTTCTCTTTCCGGGAGGATGTCAAGTCAGACCATAAGGTTTGTTGATGGTATTATCTTTGTGAGGAGTTGATTAGGCACTCAGGTAGGCAGTGCCAGGGTCCCCAGCAAGAAAGCAAAAAAAAAAAAAAAAAAAAGCCAGGACAACGAAGACAAACCACACTGGCATCCTGTTTTACAGCTTAGACAAGACCACAATAGCATCCTGTGTAGCTGCTTTTGCAGAAAAGGCTTTTGCAGGGCATCCTGAAACAAACTAATTAACCATACAGTGCTAATTGTATAGTCACTGTGATTTGGCCTCCAAATGTCAGCCCATAAGACCACCAACATGTGAACAATAACCCAATAGATAGATGAGCACACAACCAAAGCCCTGATGGGCACACCTTAGAGGCCAATCCACAGGAGCCCCAATCTCAGGAGGCTTAAGATAGTTCCTCAGAAAAAGCTTATAAAACCCCCTACACTTAGAAGCTCAAAAGGCAACCTTCTTGGGACCCCCTCCCTCTCTGGGAGCTTTACGCTTTTGCTCAATGAACTTTGCTTTGCTGCCCACCATTCTTCATCTGGTCTACCTCTTCATTCTTTGAAGTGGCAAAACCTCAGAAACTAAGGAGACACAAATCCTATAATATCTTGAATATTCTTATCATTGTACTCACATGCCCTATATCATTTTCTGGCATTATTTGTTGTTCTCTAAGATGTATTACAGATATTCCTCAGTGCCTGTTTTTAAATTTTTTTAAAGGAACAACTTCTGTACAATACTATATTGTGTATATACTGTTCATATATATTGCATCCAGTTCCTACCATAATCCTATGAGGTTGATAGAGGTGTACTTCCCACATTTTTAAGATGGAATCGTGAATCTCTGAAGCACTTTCTTTCAACTAGCAGAGATTACACATCCCTTTGAAGATAGGATTTTTTTTTTATGGCTAGGATTTTTTTATGCCAAATTCTAGAATTTGATTTTAAAACAAAATGTCCTACTTTCCATGTTTAGGTTCTCACTTTTGATACTTAGTATATTTTCTTTTTCTTGTAGCACATAGTAGAGACTATAGATTTATTTTGAATCAGCTATCTTCATGTGAACATAAAGAATGAAATGAGCTGAGTTTGACATGGTTTTATATATATGAGTGCTAGTTTCTCTTAGTTCTTTAAATATTTATCTAGAACTTAATATAAGCCATTTTATTCTTTGAGAATACAACATTGAGTAGATCATGGTACTAACCTCAGAAGTGCAAAATTAGAAAGAATATTTATTGAATCCCACGTATTATCATGCAGCTTCAGTGATTATGACTGTTTTGCGAATCTTATTTTACACATCTCTCTTCTATTTCAAAAATTATTATTCTTTCTCTTTACAAATTTACAGGATGATGTTTGTGCCCTAGCAACTTCTTAGTTGATCCAATATTTTGGGGGTGCCATTATGAGTTAATAGTTTAGCAATTATTTGGATGTGGTTTAAGTCATTGCAGTCAATATATATTTTTTGATGCTCAAAACATCTCATTTTGAGGCATTGAGAGATCTTTCAAATTGACGCTCACATCCCTTTCGTTTGGCCAAGGTGTTTTTTTTTTTTTGATAAAAAGGCTTCTATTTAGCATAAGGAACAGTTATGTGAATGCATAATTAGAACTGCATGAGCTATGTTTGTTCTGAGGTGTGGAAAGGAGGAGTTCAGTAAATACCAGATCCCAGATTCCCTTTCTGAAGATGTCCGGAAGTTGACTCTGTCAATATGCTTCTCGTGAGTCAGTCAGCTGGCAGAAGGGTTAGTTTGAAAAAAGGAAATGCAGCTTGCAGAGGCATAAGATAATCAATGCAACAGAAGATAAACAAAGTGAAACAAGTAAGACTTGGTGACTCTCAGGACAGCCTGAACTCCTGACATGTAGAGAGGGTATGCCACTGAAGGTGTGCAGGTGTACATATAGTGTTGAAAACCACAGACTATTAAGTGTGAGCTGTGTAGAGAGAATTTTCTCTGGAAAGTTCTACATGACAAAGGGAAATGAATGAGTGACCTTAGAGGGAAGAAAACTGAGAAACACTGCCTCAGCCAGATCACAGTTAACATCCACAGTGACGATTCGTGTAATTGCATGCATCCTAGACGTTAAGTGATGAAAATGGCTACATATAAATGTATAATTAAGCATATGTGCACAACCATAATGAAATACATAATTGAACATGTACCGTCTACTTACTCTGTTGCCCAAGTATACTCTATATATCTAGAAGACATGAAAACATGGGTGTTGCAAGCTTTTTAAAAATGATTTATTTATTTATTAAAGAGAGAGAGAGAAAGACAGAGAGAGAGAGAGAGAATGAGCAGGAGGAGGGGCAGAGGGAGAGGGAGAGACAGTCTTACGCAGACTCTGAGCTTCATGGAGAGAGGGCTCCATCTCAGACCCTGAGATCATGACCTGAGCCGAAATCAAGAGTTGGACTGACTCTTGATCAGTCCACTGACCTGGCCACCCAGGAGTCCCTAGCATGGCTCTTTTCATAACCACCCAGAATTGGAATCAACCCCAAAACTCATTAACAGGAGAAGACGAACAAATTGTGACATGTTTGTACACTAGAATACTATTCAGCAAGAAAAAAAAAAAAGAAATTAAAAGCCAATACTTGAAATGACAAGGATGGATTTTTAAAGAAGAAAGTGGAAAAGAAGCCAGGCATGGAGGTTCATACTGTAGGATTCCACATATGTGAAAGTACAAGAACAGAGGATAGAAATATCTGTGGTGGCTTATTGGGTTTCAGATTAATTGAAAGGGACTATGAGGGAAAGTTCTGGAGTAGGTGAATGCTCTACATGCTGCAAGGATGTTAGTTCCATATGTGCCTGCATTTGTTAAAATCTCATTAAAATGTATAAAGACCTGAGTATTTGACTCTTAGTTTTGACTCATTTAAAAAAAGACTAAACCTGATATTGTACTGAGTGCTAAGGACCTCATTATCCTTGACATAGACCTGCCCACACAGAGTTCCACTGCACTGTATCTGGGAAACAAAAGTGACTCACTGCCCAAGGGATTAGCCCTGGATTCAGAGAAAGAACATGTGTAATTGAGTCCTGAAGTGTTAGTGGGAGTTTGGCAAAAAGAATTAAGAAGTAAATATATGAATAAAGGGGTGCACTGGAAGCAGAGGTAAAATTCCCAGGGTTGCAGAGTGAGCTGTGAGTATCTGCATTTGTGAGCTGTGAGCAGGACTGCTTGGAGAAGTAGAGGCAGCCTTGGAGGGAATCAGAAATGTCAGGGCAGGTAGTGGGTCCATGTAGTTTGTAGCAGACAGCAGTAGTAAAACAAAGTCAGTTTTGTGGTCAGGGGGTCTTTTGTGAGCCCCATTAGGGATTGATCCTGAGGATCAATACTCACGACGATTAGAAAGATAGGCTCCATATATCGCACCTTGGAAGCAAATCCCCAAGGAAGGGAAACTTGATATCTAAAGCAAGGATTCACTAAGAAGTTTATGAGCACTGGGAATGTAATCCTGCCTTGTCCGTCAGGAGCTGTCCCCAGAGACAATGGGCTCCTGCAGTGTCTTCAATTTCCTTGAAACTTCACCTTCTTAGACCAGCCAACTTCTAAGTCAGAGATGAAAAATCCTTGGCACGTGGACTGCCGCCCATCATTCCTCAAACCACCATTAGGCAAGATCTTTGAATCAATCACAGTACCTAGTCCCAATGTCACCTTGGGGCTTTTGTCACAATTGTGCTCCAGGCAGCTGCTTCCAGGTGACCCAAGTAACTTTGAAAAATATTAATGATGATGGTAAGAAAAAATAAGAGTAAAATCATGACAATAAAATGAATAGCAAAAAACAACAGATAGCTTGCCCTGATATGCGCCTGGCAGCACTCAGCTGGATCATCTCCTTTCAAGCCCTTAACAATCTTTCAGGTTCATCGTCTCCTTTTTTCCCATTTTCAAATAGGACAATAGAGTCTCAGAACAATTGTGATTGCTTGAGATTATACATTCAAAAATTTAGTGGTATAAGGATGTGAACTACTCAACAGTCCATATGAATACTTTAAAAATAATAAACATTTTAATTTAGTTTTAAATTTACAGAAAAGTCATAAACTCACAGCTCAGAGAGTTCCTCTGATACCCTCGGCTTTTATACATATGGATATATGTCTATTTCTAGTACTGATCTATCCCAGAGTCATTTCTTTTCAGCATGAAGAACTTCCATTAGTGTTTTATGTAATATTGTTCAGTTGCTGGTAAACTCTCTCAGATTTCATTTAGTTAAACATGTCTTTATTATTCTTTCACATTTTTGGATATTCCTACTGGACATATGATAAATTCTAGGTTGATAGTTTTTATGTGCATGTGTGTGTTTTAATTACCTTAAGGATGCCATTCCATTGTGGTTTTTTTATTGTCTCTTATAAAATGTCAATTGTTTTTTGTTTCATAATTCCTTGCAAATTACGTATCTTTATTTTCCTGACTGCTTTAAAAATCCTATGAAAACAACCATTTTCCAATGGTTTTCAGCAGTTTTCTTTGGCTATGCCTAAGTGTGTTTTTAGGGCTTTCATGTTGCTGCATAGCTTAGATTCTTCTTAGATCTGTAGGTTAAGTTTTTCAACCAAATGTTTGGTATTTTTGGTAATTAGTTTATCAATATTTCTCTTTTCCTATTACTTCCCTCTTTTCTTTCTAAGAACTCCAATGATATGCATGTTGACTTTTATACTGTTTCATGGGTCATTTCTTTTTCTATTTTTCCTATCTGAAGATTTATCTTGATCGGCCCTCACATCTTCTGACTTTTTCTCCTGTGGCCTTCAATCTGATGCTTAGACTCAGCATTTTAAATTTAATTTTAAGAACACTACATTTAGTAGCACATATACTAAAACTGGAACAATACAGAGAAGATTAACATGCCCCCTGCGCAAGGATGACACACAAATTCATGAAGCATTCCGTATTTTTAAATAAATCAATCAGAGAAATACAATTATCATATGGTTGCACTCATGTGGAATATAAGAAACAGTGAAAGGGGCGATAAGGGAAGGGGGGAAAACTGAATGGCAAAAAAAGAGAGAGGAAGACAAACCATGAGAGACTACTAATTCTGGGAAGCAAACAAAGGGTTGCATAAGGGGAGGGAGTTGGAAGTGGGGTGACTGGGTGATGGGCACCAAGGAGGGCACTTGATGTGATAAGCACTGGTTGTTATACTATTAGGTTGTCAAGTTGAATTTAAATAAAACTTTAAAAAATAAAAAAATAAAAACACTACTTATCAGTTCTAAGGTTTCTTTTTAGGATATTTTTATAGTATTTTGGGTGGTTCACAGCTTTCTCATTGTGTCTGTCTTTCCATTTAAGTCTTTCAACATATTTCTGACAGCTATTATAAAGTCCTTGCCTGCTGAGTCTAACATTTGTGTCATCTTTGTGTTTGTTTATGTTGACTGATTATTTTCTTTGATGAGAGTCTTGAATTTCAAGGATTTCTAGGTCTTTTGCATGCTTATATTGAATACTGTGAATGACTAATTGTAGGGGCTCAAGATTATGTTGTCTTCCCTTAAAGTGTGTTATGTTTTGCTCTGGCATGTGATTGAATTACTGGCGTTGGTTCTTGTATACTGCTGGGGACTATTCTTTATGTCAGTTTGGTCCTTAGTCTTAGACTGTGACTTTTGGTCTAGAATGTAGTCCTTATCTCCACAGTATGACTTTTCCAGAACCTCAACATTATCACTGAGGTGCTCATTAAGAATGTGCTGTAGTTAAACATGTCTGGCATCTCCTAACTCTGCAAGACCTCTAACATCTCTGTTCAGAGCTCAGCCTTGCAGCAACCACTCTCTATTAGACACTGCAAAGTTTACCTAATGTAAACACAGGCCAACTATTGGCCAAGCACCTGTGGGCATGCTCTGTGTCTATGTCCTTACCCAAGCTTTCTTCCTTCCAGTACCCCGTCCAGCATAGGAAAGTTATCTTAGTAGCCTTAAACTCTTGTCTCTGTGTATCTGTCATTCTTGGTTTGGGCTCCACCTAATTACACCACTTTCCAGAAAATACCCTCGAGTAGAAAGACAAGCAAACACGAGACTCATTTAATGTGTTCCTATTTTCTTAAGGGTCATACTACTGGGCTATTGTCCTATAATTCAAAGCCTGAATATTGTGTCCAGTTTTACAGTTACTTATAGTTAATGTACAGTGCTATTGTAGTTTCTGCCTCCTGACCAGATTTAGAAGTCCATGGTTTAAGCTAGATAAATTACTCTAAGTAAAGAAACATCTTCAGTGACTTTGATAGAAGCATATCAAAGTAGTAATCATTAAAGAATCTTTTTTTAAATTATTTATTGACTCATGAGAGACAGAGACAGAGAGGCAGAGACATAGGCAGAGGCAAAATCAGGCTCAGGGAGCCTGATGTGGAACTCAATTCCAGGATCTCAGGATCACTACATGAGCCAAAGGCAGATGCTCAGCCACTGAGCCACCCAGTTGTTGGATCATTAGAGAAACTAAGTGAACTGTGGTGGTTACACTCTCATTCTTCAAAAGGATCCTAGTCAGCTCAGGCTGCCATAACAAAATACCATAGATTGAGAGGCTTAAACAATAGAAATCTATTTTCTCACAGCTCTGAAGGCTGGATGCTCTAGATTAGGGTGCCAGCATGGTCAGGTTCTTGGTGAGGACTCTCCTCCTAGTTTGCAGACAGCTGCCTTCTCGCTGGGTCCTCACAAGGCAGAGATAAAATAAGCTCTTTGTTGTCTCTCCCTATTAGGGCACTAATCCCATCATTTGGCTCAAATTACTTCCCAAAGATCCCATCTCCAAATAATATCAAATACACTGGAAATAAGGGGCTAAACTTATGCATTTTGGGGGAGAGACAAACATTTGGTCCATAACAGAGAACCGTATTCTCAAGATTGGTGTAATTTCATACACAGGGAGATGCAGTACCAGAAGTTCAGTATGTTTAGTAAAATAGTTCAGAGTATATACCAAGAGAGCAAAGAATGATTAATTTTAATAATTTAGGGAAGATGCCATGAAAGTGCTAGAATTTGGATTGTTTAAAAGTGTGAAAAAGTGGCAGGAAGATAGAGTCAAATGGAGAAAGTAGTCATTAGGAAATTAATGCTGGGATCCCTGGGTGGAGCAGCGGTTTGGCGCCTGCCTTTGGCCCAGGGCGCGATCCTGGAGACCCGGGATCGAATCCCACATCGGGCTCCCGGTGCATGGAGCCTGCTTCTCCCTCTGCCTGTGTCTCTGCCTCTCTCTCTCTGTGACTATCATAAATAAATAAAAAAAATTTAAAAAAAGGAAATTAATGCTAATTAATAAATAAAATCAATAATATTCCAGGACATTGAAGCTAAAGATACAATCAACTTTTGTTTTTGACCAGCAAAAACCATAGCCTCATTCCCCTCTCTGTTCATCTGTTTAGTTTTGTACATTCCTTTGTATTAGATACTTATTCTCTTCCATGTTGATGTTAATGTGTTTCTAAGGTTTTCTCGGAGAATGAGCTACTGATTCAAGTATATGTATGTGGATTACCTGAACACTTTGAATATCACCAGGTCTTAATTTTAAAATACACAAATCATATATATATATATATATATATATATATATATATATATATATAATATTAAACTATTATATACATATACACATTTCTAACATATATATACCAGTATATGCACATAAATACATGAACTATTCATATATATCACACATATATGTATATATGCTTGCTTAACAACAGCTTAGCTCTCATGGGAAATCTGGAACCATGTATATACATAAATTTATAGGCATCAAGAAGTTCAATGTGAGTGACTTATTACAGAAGTATGAATTAGAGCATATGGAAAACAGCACACTTTATTTTGCTATTCACTTGGGAGGAATTACCTACCTATAACTGAGCGTCAGAAGTAGCTTAATGCTTCAGGTCACGTTACAGCAGGCAAATGCTACATGTAGAAAAAACAAATGCCATTTTATTAGCTTTTCGGGGAATAATTTGTTCTCCTCACCACCTTCCTTCTGAGGGGTCTTCCTCGTTGCCCGCCGCATTCTGCTTATGGTAAGTCGGACACTGGTTCCTGGCAGGACACAAATAACCTGGTCAGATGTTGAACTGTGGTATCTGCAACACTCCAAAACTGTCCTGTGCTTACATGAGCAGTTTACAGCACTCAGATCTGCTCACCGAAAAGATCTGATGGAGGATCTAATCTCTGTGAAACTGAATCCCACATCTCTGTGTTAAGCTTCAGTATCAATCCAAGATTTTTGTCTTGTGCTTTTTATCTGCACAATGAGCCTCACCACCGGAGTGTTCCCCCAGCCTCTCACACTTGTCCTGTCTGTCGTTCCATTTACACCATCATTGCCTCCCTAACCCCCATCTTCTCCAATTTATGGTGCCATCACCACTTTTGTTGTCAGGCCCTAATGTATGTAGACTTCTTTCTGCAAGCAGTCAATAAAATTTTTAATTCAGATACTGATTTCCTGTACTCCTTAACTGATCTCCTAAATACTCTCAGCTACATTCGCTCTCGAGACCCCTAGACTGATTCAGCACACCATCAGTTCACACGCATGATAACGCAGTTTGATGAGAAGCTAACCAGGTTTGGAGGCACAGGTGTGAGCCTCCATTCAGCCTCTGGCAAGCTTTTACCTTTTGTGGGTTACTCCAAAACTCTCAGTTCTCCTTTTGGTAAAGTGTCAGTGGAATTAAACCACTTACAGTTCTTAATTTCTTAAAAACATACTCTGGTTTATTAAGTATGAAAATATGCACTTGCAGAAGATGTGAAAAGTGTAGCTAAATATAAGGAAAAGTAGGTATCACCATCCATTTATTCAACTGACACAATGATTATTTACTGTGTCAAAAGCTGTTAAGTGTTTGGGAGAGAGAGAGAAATAAAATAGGCTGATTCACTGATCCTAGGAGAGGAACTCTCCTGCAGTGGCAAATTGTCATTTTTATAAACATTTTTTTTCAAAACATTATATATATGCATATTTGCAGCATATATATTGAATAAATGTATTATGTATTTAGCAAATGTTTGAATAAATATTTTGTTTCATTTATATTCAAGATATATATTCAATATAGGTTTTACATGTATATGAACAAATTATATATTTTTTATCCTACTTTGTTTTCCCCTTAACATTAATTTAGTCATTTTCTCATGTCTTTGGTTATATTATAGTTTTAATCGTTGTCCAGTTTTCGAAAAATAGGTATGCCTATAAAACAAAGCATTTTCCAATTAAGTACACATTTATTTATAATTATTTGCCCCTGTAAATAGTATGAGGTTGAATCTGCTTTTACGTGGATTTTTTTAAAAGATTTTATTTATTTATTCATGAGAGACAGAGACAGAGAGAGGCAGAGACACAGGCAGAGGGAGGAGCAGGCTCCATGCAGGGAGCCTGATGTGGGACTCGATCCCGGGTCTCCAGGATCACGCCCTGGACTGAAGGCAGCACTAACCCACTGAACCACCTGGGCTGCCCTTTTACATGGATTTTAAAATGTATTTCTGAGTAGTTGATTAAGATCTAGTCAAAATAAATTAATATTTCTAGACCTCGAATCTATTCTAAATCACTGCTAACAGAAAACTAACGCAAGTCACATATGTAGTTTCAAATTTTCTAGTGGCCACACTTAAAAAAAGTAAAAAGAAATAGGTGACATTTATTTTTATCATTTACTTAACCCAATATTTAAAAATATCACTTCAACATATGATCATTCTAATGTTGACAACATAACCATATTTTTCTTTCTATTGTACTAAGCCCTCAGAATTGGATGATATTTTACACTTAGAACACATCTCAGTTTGGGCAGTTTGGACCACATTTCAAATGCTCAATAACCGCATGGAGCTAGTGGTTTCCAT